CATGCCGTACAACAATACTGACTTGTTCGAGGAACGAATTCTTTTCTCAGCCTGAATAGAGGTTGCCAAAAATATTGGAGGGGAGAGCGATCCTCCAGTTAGCCTTAAGTGAATGCAGCCGTAGCAGGAGCCCAGTTAATTAAATTGCTTAAACTCTTTTACTATTTCTCCGCATCTCGCTTCACCCACTTAACACATTTGCTGAGCTGGATGGGCTTATCATAATTTTCGACTTTCGGGGGGTTCAGGAAAAAACCAGCTTACGCACCTGTATTGTATGGAAGCAGACAGGCGACGAAAAACCCATACCGTACACTCATCAGAATAACGTCATATGCATAGTGCGTCAGTAAGATATCTGATCATATAACTTGAACCGAGTCTTCCCCTAGAACGAGACCCTCGTCTTCCCAGCATTAATAATGTTTGGCGAAAAAAATCTAATAGAGTGATGAAAGGCATTGAATGGAAGTATTGCTTAGAAGAGTGCTGAATGGCGAAAGCACATTTCTCTGCGAACTCCACAGTGAATGGGAATCATTTAGATAACTATCCTTCAACTTTACCAGTGGACATGGTCCGTGCAAACAAAGTTAAAACGATGTACTACTAATTATGTATGCCATTCAGACGCTATCAACCTGCATCTAAGGGTTCGGTATCTTAGACTGCGTTCTTACAAAAAATTACCATTCGTCAACTATTCAACAGAAATATTACTATTCAACACCTTCGTCTGTAGGCCCCTTTAAGTTTTTTAGCAGGACAAACAAAATACCAAGAGTCTACCACAAACCGACAACCACAAGCATGGACTAAGTGCCAACAATGGAAGGCTTTACTAAAGCAACGATAGCACAGTTCGACTACAATCAGACATGACTGGCAGTAGCTACTACTGGTTTGCTTAGACATTTTTAAAATCCTCGAGAAGTTCCGCTCTCATTCATATTCGTTTATCGGCTAACAAAAATGCAACTTGCAGTGCAGCTGAACAACTCGTATCAAAGTAGAATTACATCATTCAGGAACTGCCTGACTTGAAGCAAAACAACTCTGCTAAAACAGAAGGACATTTATGCGGACCGAAAACAGAAGTACAACCGTAAACATGGCAAACGTCACAGCAAACAGAGGATACCATTCGATCAGTAACCTGCGCAGGTCGAAATAAACACAGCAAAAAAGCCAAAAGCCACTAAAACGGTCACGAGGTAGAAACAGAGTCGTCACCAAATTGCAATAAGTATTGAGCAGACGCTGAGCTGGGATGAGTGACACTAGAGGGTTGTAACAAACGATCTGTACATTAAGAACATATGGTTTGTGATCTCTGTCGATGCGTGATCTGTGAACCGTCGTTTTTTCCGCTGCAGCTGAAATCGGTCAGATTTTCGAAGCTCGAGTCTATGTAGCAGTGCTGCACTCCACCGTTAACTTTTACCTCCTTGCTGACGCACGGCCTAAGAGCCCACAGAATACATATGTAAACGCAAAATACGCTGCCAATCAGCAAAACCACCAGCCACATGCCAATATACAAAAGCTGCGTACGAGCGAATATCTTCCAGCCGAATCTCACGCAGATCAACGCTTCGGTCAACATGATTGCCAAGTACACCCAACACTGAGTTCCGAACCTCTTACACTTAGGGTCTGTCACGTAACTGTAGTACTGCTGCATGGCCGGCGCTACAGCTAGTCCGATAAGACATATGCGGAAAGTGACCAATGGATGGCTAGTGTCAATCGCAAAAATATGCTTAAGAAAGAATGTGTTCAGCTCGGTGATCTGCCAGATCACTACCAGTTCCCAGACGGCTAAGATCCTCATCAGCGTACACTGCGGATCCAGCCAGCGCAGCACCGTCCAGCTGGAAGGCGTGAACTGCATAACGGCGCGCTGGATCTTGCCCCTGGTTGTCGGAATATTCCTGATGCTCTCCCAGTGATACTCGCGTATCTCCAGTTTTCGACAGATGTACATGCCCAGCCAAATACCCAGCCCATTGCATAGCAGAATGTCGAGCACGATCGCGTCCCACCAGCATTCCTGGAAGTTCGGTAGCAGATGAGAAAACGCAATTTCAGTCAGTTCCCAGGTGATGCTCACGTACCAGCAGATTATCGTGTGCCTGATGAGCAATGCCTTCATCGCCCAACCGATGAAGTGCGCCGCCGCAAATATGTCGCAGTGTGACCAGATACGAGATATATTTAGCTCCGAACAGTTAATCGCGTACTCCTTTTCTTCCAGTTGCATTTTATTCAACCTCTCCGGGTCCAGCCACTTCAGAATGTCCTTGATCGTACTGAAATTCTGAAACAACAGGAACTGCAGAAACAGCAAGTAAAACACGCTGACGCCGAAGATCATGCGCCACAGCGCTGGATGAGGTCTCGTGAAAGGTCCATTCGGAAAAGCGATCGTACTCAGCACCAGGAAGGAGAAAAGCACTGCTTTCAGGCCGACCCATATGTTTTGATCCAAGTCACCGTCGGCCCTCGTAAATGCTGTATACAGCAACAACAATATCGAAACCAGCAAAGCCGTCAGACGACGAGGGTTGTAGAAAAACTCCAAAGATATGTCTTCAACCGGTTTTTCATTGATGCGCTGAAAACTATCAAAATGCTCTGCCGTTCGTCTGCTCGGCATTGTAAAACAGCAACTTAGTTAAAAACAACCACGTTTATAGAAACAAACTTGACCGTTCCTTAGCAAATTAAAAGTCGTTTCTCTGCGTATAATCAGTCTTCGTTTCTGCATAAAGTTGCAATTCTTCACTGATTCACGTTCCACATAAAATTAGACAAAAAATTACGGAAACAACTCTCAAACGTTTCACAAGCAACCATTTCGCGAGCGCAGTTTATGAATACCGTAAACCAAAGATACATGTGATATTAAGTGCGTTCAGATAGTGGAACTGTACCTTTGGTCTTGTCTCCCTCAGGTCTGTGTCAAACGAGCCTCCATTTAGGAAACATATCAATATAATA